GACTACCCTGGATAATTTTCCCCAAACATAAGATATATCTCAGAATATAACATTTATCTACTATCAGAAACCCAAACTATCCAGCAACGCCCAAAGCCCATGTCATGTCACAAAACCTTGACAAAAAAAAAAAAATTGACAAAGTGAAAAATTCTAAGAATCCTGCGCAGTGCTCAACTCTGTTAGTAGTCATGTCATGAATTTTGACTGGGGTAGCTTCTCACACTTGTTCTTCCTCTTAAAGAAATCTATACTTTTCACACTTAAATATGCAAGTTAAGCATTGATGTGACCCTGAGCAGAGCATGAGCAGAGGATGAAAATACCTGAACCCTGAAGAGTTTAAGGAGTGAGTCTTTCCTATGTTATTTAGAGCCAGTGGGTAAGAATTCATAGGCTAGGTGGGCACTGTTGTTCAGTCACTTAGTCATGTCTGACTCTGTGATCCCATGGACTGCAGCATGCAAGGCCTCCCTGTCCCTCCCTATCTCCCGGAGTTTGCCCAAGTTCATGTCCAGTGTTTGGCTAGGCCAGACCCAAAGCCTGCTCCAGGTTCAAAGATGGTCAATAAAGATGACTTGAACTAATTTTAAGGTTCTGACCCAATTGACAAACCTGCAAAAGAGCAGCAATATGAGATGTGAGTGGAGAGGCCTCAGTGTCTCCTTTGGTCTTCATGGAAGGATGTCCAATGTTCAGAAGTCAACGTGACGTATTTCCGGTAATGAATCACCACACAGCTCTATCTCATAGAGTCTTACTAGCCTAGGGTAAAGGCTCTATCCACACTCAATGGTTTCTTTTTCATTCACTCAGTTCAATATTTTCTGAACACCTATGTGCTAGGCATTGGTCTAGGTACATGGGATTTATCAGTGAACAAAGTCCCAAATGTTGTTGAGCTTCTAGCAGCAGAAACCAATCAATACAGTTAATAAGTAAATTCTACTGTACATTAGAGGGTAATAAGTGCTTTGGGGGAAAAAATAGAGTATAAAGAAAGAGAAGAGTTGGTAGGGAAGAGTTTCTCTTTTAAATACGGCAGGGTCAGGTCTATATGTGTGCCATCTGTGCAGTTATGCAAGGTCCAGGCTCAAGGTTTGAGGCTCTGTTCACATCATCTTGAAATTCTTAATAATTTTATCTTTGCACTTAATTTTTTTAAGTGAAGTTTGATAGCACAATGGAATATGTGTATAAGCAGAGGAGATACTGTATGCACAATGTGCATGTCTGCCGCCTCTTGAGATTCCAATTGAGACTGCATTACATTGGTATATTAATTTGGGGAAAATTGGCATTTTTAGATTATTAAGTTCTTCCCATTAAAGAAAATGGTGTGCTTTTCTATCTGTTTTAATGTCCTCTGGTGATATTATATAGATATTTTCCACATAGGGTCAGCACATTTCTAATTTATTTAAATTTAAATTCTATTATAATTTATGCCTAGGACTTTTCTGGGGAAACAGCACTTTCAATGCAAGGGACATCTTTTTCATATTCAAAATTAGCATTTTGTCTTTTGACTTAAAATCATAGGAGAAGGGAGAAAGTTCTGGAAAAACACACAACTAGGAACAAAATAGTCTTTTGTTCCCTGGCATATTGTATTTTTGGCCATCCTTTGCTTACAAGTTTATTCTTCTCATTCAGACCAATTGGAATTGGACAAATAATCCCTTTCAGGGAAAAAACACAGGGATCGGTGAATCTCAGAGTAGAAGTGGATAGGACAAAGCCTATGCTGGCCATGAGAGCAGGCTGCTCTGTGGTTACTTGTTGGGAAAACCGTGGCTGTCAGCAAGGCCAAAGAGAAGTAGCCAGAGAGGTGACGGACCGCAGGCCTTTGGGTGGGGTCTACATAATGTACCTCTGACACCAGTGGCCACTGAGGACTGAACGGGAAGAGCCACACAAGCAGAGACCACAGGGGCGGATGGAATGTGTGGCGCAGGCCTGATTTGTGCAAACCAAGGAAAATGAAGCTCATTCCAGATCAAGAAGTCTGTAAATGTTATCATAAACATCAATGGACACATTTAGTCGGCAGAAATATTTTCACTAGCAGTGTTGGATGTGCAAATGCACAGAGGTGGAAACGGATGAAAAAGAAGAGCAAAATCTGAAAAGTAGCCACAGCGTCATGGCAGAAACAGGTGAACGTTCTAGACTAAAATTGAGTAGACACAGAGATGTTTTGGTAGGCAGCTACAACCCAGGAGCATACTGCTGGAGACACTGACTCCCAGAGAGCATCAGCCAACCCTGCAAGACAAACACGGATCCAAGAGGAAATGAGGCAGAGAGAAGAGGTACCACCAGTCTGAGACAGCTTCTCTCTGCTCTGGGCCATAGGAAGATGCCTAAATGTGTGGAATGTAACAAGTTAGTTGTACCCAAATGAACCATTTTAGTAGACCCCCATGTCATTTACTCATATGAATGTATTTTCTTACCAATAAGGAATCAGGGACAGGGACTTCCCTGGTGGTTCAGGGGTTGCGCAGGTTCCATCCCAGGTCGGGGAAGTTCCGCCTACTTTGAGCTGCTGCCAAAAAAATAAAAAGGAATTGGTGAGGAGCCAACTCATAATTTACAGTGGCCAAGAGAGATCTTCATTCAGGTGTTAGAAGAAAAACAAAAGAATCTTGCACCCATGTAAATTTTAAGCCATGATATTGGTTTCTATCGGAACACTTGTGAGGCCCCAGTTCATCAACCACTGCTGTTTTGAGGTTCTGGAAAGGTATAATGGAAGGCTGATATTTCAATCCAGAATGGCAACACTGCTCTGGAGCATTCCCTTTTCAACTGAGCATTGTGAGAACCACAGGCAAGGAAAGAGTTAAGTATGTCAAACTGCATACACAAAGTTAAAAAGAGGGAGACAGAAATGTTACCAGCATATTTTTAAACAATAGAGGTGAAAATGCCAGCTCTTCTGAGTATGGAAAAAAATATCCTTTTCATACATATTGACAGCCAGAGGGGGTTATTATTGAGAATATGGGTGAGGTTACTGCCAGTTTCTACTGGTACTCATGTTTAAAAAGAAACTATGGAAACCAGAAGAAGGAATATTAATTAAGTTCAAATTTGGAATGTCTTTGCCAGGAGTGGATGAATGAATTCAATGAAGCAACCTGTTGGGTTGTAATTCAGTGTTTTGTTAGCAATTTAATAGAATGCTGAACTTTTCATAAATTAACACTTTGTTTTAATAACCTTATTAAAAGGTTGTTTCTTGATAAGGTTAGTTCTAAAATATGATTTTGTTTTAAATTTAAAGAATCAGTATGTATTTATTTTTCACAATTAAAATTATTGGTTATTTATAAAAATTATTTAATACATTTATATGTTAAAAATAAAAAGCATAAAATAATATAGACAAGTAAATCTTTCCTACTTTATATTCTGTCTCCCTCCACCCCTAACTAAAGAAACCTGTCATTAGTTTCCTGTGTATACTTTAGAGAGATTATTTGCACATCTCTTTCATACAAATTCACAAAATCTGTTTTTTGTTAGATCAATTGTAACTCTTTTTATAAGTTCCCTATTTATATTCAAGGCCCTTTGATAATCACATCTTTGGGGTATTATTTATTAAGAACACATGCCTTTTACAAGAAAATATTTTGTAATAGTGAAAGTAATATGGATATCTGGAGAGGGTAATGCTAATGAGGAAATACAGAATGGGAAAAATTATTCACTTGAAAAAACCTGGAGAGTTTACAAGTAAAGCTTCACTGGCCACTGCAGGGTTTAAAGGAAGTTTCCACTTTACAACATGAATATGTTGTGGTCGTCTTAGTCCTTAGACTAATTTGCTTCTTTCTGGTGGGGAGGATAGCAATGTTGAGAAAACACTGACTAAACCAAAAATCAGCTCCATTTAAATGTGAAGCTGCGTTCTAAACACAAGCAGAGTCTGCTGAAGGGCTCTGAACATTAAGCTGCATGCCTTGCTGAGTTTTATTCCAAATAGACAACAGCAGATGGTAACAATGCACTTCTCATAGATGGTAGGAGGGAGGCAGTCTTGTTTCAAGTAATACTATTTCTGGGCGATAATCCAAAATGCGCAGTAGGCAGAAGTTAAAAGGAAGCGCTTGCTTTTAGGTTTTTAAAATATATCCCTTAATCCTGGGTGATGATTGACAATCATGATTTAGAGTATGAGGGGCCTCTCTTTAATCTGGCAAGTTTGATGTTATTTGCGTATCTAGTAGGGCTTTTATTCAACTAAAACTAAGTGGAAGCCTGTGCAATTGATGCCGCATTTCAGAATTGATTCCTGGCCTGGTACTCTATTTACAGATTAGTAAGTACACAGGATCCGTCCTCCTCATCATCTTTTTGAAATTTAAAGGCTCTAAAAGACACATTTACAATTAAAATGTGTCTTGCTGTGTTAGACTATGACCAGGAGATGACGTTTTTTCCCTATGATTTAATTTGAGAAAAGAAGCAGTCTATAAGGTTATATTATAATCCTGATTTGATTCTTAAAATATAATATTAGCCATTGGTATTTCCAGATGATTAAAATGTTTTCATTACTGGCTTTGTGTGATTTGTTATTAAGTCCTTGGGAAAAATTTAGAATTACCTCCAATTCTCCTGCTCCTATTACAAGATATCTAGGGAAGTTTTTGTAAGAAAAGATCAATGTTCAGCCATTGTATTCCTATTGTTTTATTATTTGTGACAATAAATTGATTTAAAAACACAGTATTAAAATAGAATTAAGTTATAAATTCTCAAACATGGTATAGCTGAGAAAATGAAATTCACAGACATGAAATTTAACAGATGAATTTGACAATAGTAAGAACAAATGTGGTTTTCATTGAGGTTTAATCAGTACCGTTAACGTCTCTGTCACAATGCATTAAACAAAGCAAGATGGGCTTATGAGAAGGGAAAGAAAGCTATTATGAAACCCAATCACTTAGTGTTTAACTTGTATTCCCATTATTATGATGTTTTTAATTATGTAATTTGGGGGAAATTTGTAAGAAGTAAAACATATTCATTATAGAAAAATTTGGAAAATACAGAAAAGTATAAACAAAATAAATATTACCCTCGATTCCAATTTTTTCCCCCTTATCTTGCTTTAATCCAAATTTAAGGGCTAAAGTATACCTCCCAGGACACATTCTGGCTGCTGGGAGTGTGCAGAAGTGTTCAGAAAAGGTCCCGGGCAGTTTGGAGCCAGGGTAAGTGACACAAAGTGCTATAGGTTTGATGTGTTTTGTACCGCAGTAGCAGAGCTTTCTTCTCATAGAAACCCCAGTGATGGGAACCTTTGTGTTTAGAATATATTCTAACCTAATAAGTGAATGTTGATACTACTTTCTGTTAACATTTCAAAAGCACATTTTTGCAGCAGAATCATGTGTTTGATATTTAAAGGCTAATAAAATAAATCCAAGTGATAGAAAAATAGTATGAAAATCATATTAGGAATATCCATTGCAAACAGTTATTAAACCCAAATTTCCTTTTTGCCTTTGGACCTTCAGTTTCTTGCCAGTAAGTGATTGAGTGATTGCAAAAATGAAAACACTACTTGCCTACAGCTTTGCTCAATTTATTCGTAAGAATTGCATAGGTTAACTCATCAAATCTTTATGAGAATTTTCTGAGAACGTAGACCTAAGTCTACAGGCTCAAAAATTAAATCCCAGGCCCTCAGAATGCCAAATCCGGGAAAAGTCAAGGACCTTCCTCTCCAGTCAGTGATGGCCATCATCCCAGAAACCTATTCCTGTCACATGGTTTTCCCTCTCCCTGGGGTGCTCTTTGCCTCCCTCCCTCACACCCTCACGTCACGGGCTGCACTCTTCCTTGGAGATGCTGCTCGTTTGTCTCCCGTGTCATGAAACCTTTGCCTCCTGCCCCTGGCAAGGTTTCTGACACCTCCCTCCACAACGCCAGGGTTCTTTGCACACACACACGCACACGCACACATCCCCTCTGCGGCTCTCATCAACTCCCGTTTCCACCATTTATTTACTATCTGTCTCCTTACTTGTGAGCTTCCACAGCCTAGCACAGCATTAAAAAATGATTTGTTGACTGATGGACTTACTAAATAGTTGAATAAACAAACAGATGAGTGAATTTACTCTTACGATAAAGGTGTCTAGAACCCAGCCTAACAGCACAGTTAGTTAGCATGCATCGTGGTGATAATAGTTTCTGATGCTATGACTCTTACTGAATAGTTACTAGATACTGTGTCCAGTGCTTTAATGAATTACTCTTTTATGGTAATATTATTAACCCTATCCTCCAGAGACTGAAGGGCTTCCCTGGTGGTGCAGATGCTAAAGAATCCGCGTGCAGTGCAGGAGACCGGGTTCGATCCCTGGGTTGGGAAGATCCCCTGGAGAAGGGAATGGCAACCCAGTCCAGTATTCTTGCCTAGAGAATTCCATGGACAGAGAGTCTGGCGGGCTACATGGGGTCCATGGGGTCGCAAAGAGTCAGACACGACTGAGTGACTAACACACATACATACAGAAGGAAACTCTGAGTCTTAGAAGGAGTAAATCACTTATCGAAAGGCATACAACAAATAATTCACAGGGAGGGGACTCAAATTCATGCTGTCTCTTTCCAAAACCTGTGTACTTACAAATATCAAATACTACCTTTTCCTGCAGAAGGTAGTCAATACTTGTTGAATGAAAATGAATAAGTGAATGTGTACTCTCCCTATATGTGAGAACTTTTGGTAAGAAGCAAGTAAGAAAAAAAAAAAGGAAAAAGAAGCAAGTAAGAAGCTGAAGTAAGACTTAGCATCATCAGTCATATAGTAAGGCCTAAGAAATGGCAGTGCGACTAGCTCTATTTAATCATCTGTATTTGGAAGCAAACAACACAAATAGCATCAATGAAAGCCTGACTTGAAATTAGGGTGAGACTGATATGTGTGAACACCCTGAATGTCAAAAATACTTGTTCAACATTTGTTTAGTGGGAAGGGGTCAACACTGGCAAGAATGCTTCCTTTTCTCCCTTTCAATTTCTTCTAAAAGTGAATGTGCTGCTGCTGCTAAGTCGCTTCAGTCGTGTCCGATTCTGTGCGACCCCATAGATGGCAGCCCACCGGGCTCCCCCATCCCTGGGATTCTCCAGGCAAGAACGCTGGAGTGGGTTGCCATTTCCTTCTCCAAAAGTGTATGTACTTCAATAGAAATGGGACCATGTTCCATTTTGCTCTTTATGTTAGGAGGCATGAACTGCAACACACTTTGTGTTATTTTTAGCACTTCTGATACATTGGTAATACCAATTGGTCTGGTTGGGTCCACTGTTTAATCTGGCTCTGCATAAAGAGGGATATCATTGTGAAAAGTGCCAACAGATATCACAAGTTCCAGGTGATCTCCATGGCTCAACAATTCTCAACACTACTTTTGAATCAACTCATTTGGGGAGTTTTAAAAATCTTCAGTTTCCTAGCACCCAGTCTCAGACTTTCTGTTTAAGGAGACCCAGGGAGAGCTGTGGTTGGCATTTGTGATTTCAGGAAGCTCAGCTCTGTGGATTGGGATGTGCAACCCATGTCCAGATCTGATGGAACAAAGTACAGAAAGACTTTGTCATAAAAATATAAACTTTCCTTACCCTGAACCCTCCTAAGCAGGATGGCAGACAAGAGGGAGTAAGGATTTATTTCCGGCCCTGTCTGAGGACAAGCGACTCTGACTGCGGATATGCTAATTGGATTAACAGATATAGTTCATTGGTTCACAAAGTTGACTTTTCTTTGGACTTACCCCGGGGTAGTTTCAAAAAATAACCTGAGTTCACTGGCAACACATTTCTGTGGTATTTTTTGAACTCCTAATATACTGATGCCATGGGCTCCCCCCGCTCCCCGTAGGGGCCCTGATCTAATTGGTCTGGGGGTTGATGTAGGTATCAGGACTTTTTAAAGCTAGCAGGTAATTCTAGCATGCAGAGGAGCTTGGGACTCACTGGTCTAGTTGAGGAGACTACATCGGATATTGGACTGTTTACAATATGTCTAAAATAAGGTATTCACATGGTTTGATCCTTCTGCCACGCCCAAAGCCTAAATCTCAGAAAGCAGGTCTCTGTTTCAAAGGCAAGGAGAAGGAGGGACAGTGAGGATGGCTAAAACGGGAACCTGTGGTTTTCTAGAATTTCAGGATCTCAGGAAGCATTTTGTAGAGGCACTTTTTTGTTATGCATTTTGTTCTACCTTTATTCTCCCTGAGAAAGCTCTTGACTTTAATTAAACTTCCTAAGTTAAGGTGTATGCTAGCCAACAGGAATAGTCCTTTTGGCAACCAAAGATCCCAATAAAAATGAATATGTTGGTATTACGACTTGTGAATGAGCCACCTCATGAAGGCCCAATGATACAGGTACAATGATAGAAGTGGTGCAGAGCTCACCAAGCCGAGACCCAGACCCAGCTTTCTTGATGATCGTAACAAACTGCCACCCCATGAGACTTGTGCAGAAAGAAACATCTCTTTCATTTTAAATCCGTCTCTTTATAGGAAGACCCAGAGACCATCTGACAGGATTTACCATGTTAAATAAATTGGAGCTTCTTGCTCCCTTAGCTGAGTGCTGGAAATGATGGGCAGGTATTTGACTTAGACCTAAGAAGGAAAATATCTGACAAAATAAATATAACTGGAGGGTCTCAGTGCAGGCATGAACACCACTCAAAGCGCAGTGTCTCTGAGAAGTAGAGCATGAGATAGAACAATCCTAGGCCAAATGCACGTGTTTAAAGGACCCTCCAATGTCCAGTTCCATGAAGTTCACTAGTGGAGATGGGAACCATAGGATACTGGGGGGCAATTTAAACACAGAGATCTCTTTCTGATTCTTCCTCTACTCTGCATCAATCTTGTGGTCTGCCTGCAAATCTCATCACTTAAGTTTTGTTATTTGATATAAAATACAACTACTATTTGCATAGAGGGTAACAAACCTTCTCATTAATGTCTTTACAGTGATTCTCAGCCCTGGCTACATGTTAGAATCACTTGGAGGGATTTTTGTTTTGTTTTTAAAATACTGAAGCCAAGGCTTCATTGTCAGAGATTCTGATTCAGTTGGTCAAGGGTAGGGCCTTGGCATTAGTGTATATTTAAAAAAATGAAAGGTGATTTTAATGTGCAGCCAAAGTTGGGACTCACTGGTCTAGAGTGTGAAAAATTTGATCATATCCTTTCTGGAGGGCAGATTTTGATGGGAAAGGAAAGAAAACGGAATCCTTGGGCAGAGGGAGGTAGGGAGAAGTACCTGGGGTTTTTAAAGGAAGATGGGGAGAGTGGAGATTAGGAATGAGGAGGTAGTGCTGAAAATAAACTTCTATTTGTCAGTTTTGCCTAGGGCTGGCTCTGACCCAGGACATAAGAGAGATAAGAGGCGAGGAGGAGAATGAGCTTATGAGAGAAGTGCATCTTCATGAATACATATTTAAAAACTGTCTCAACAAGCATTCTCAACATCACTGGGCTTTGGAAATTGACCACCTCTAATAAAGCACTTTTAATTCCCGTAGTACTGATTCTTCCTGGAAAATCATAAAATAAAAGTTAGTGCAAAATTTAGTATTAAAATGTCTATAGGAGTAGTGGTGAGTGAGGGGTTTGCTTTAGGATCCCTTAGGACAAGTTTCTGTAAGAACCTTGAAGTGACCACTACAATATTGTAAAGTAATTAACCTCCAACTAATAAAAATAAATGGGAAAAAAAAAGAAACTTGAAGTGTGCCCTTAGAGAAATAAGTCATATTTTTTATTGTGAATTCACTGTGTAAATATCTTAAAAAACAACAACAAACTACCAATCCAATTTTATCTTGCTTTAGTTAGCTTCTTCATCATTTGCTAGCCTAAACAGCTTGCCCCTCGCCCTGTTCACTTGTCACTTTACTTGGCTTGAAGAATATTAATTGGTTTTGTTGGTTGTCCTGACTTTTGATTGGAACACTTTCCAGGGCTTCTGTGGTACATCTGATCCACAGCCTCTGAGAGGCAGTGTGGCATCATGCACTGAGCTTGTGCTTCCTGGATTTCAGTCTCAAGTCTTTGTCCTTGGACAAACCTGATTGATTTCTGTTTCCTCATCTGCAAAATGGGAATGATGCTAATACACTGCCAAATTATGAGAATTGAATGACAATATATGTGAGAATTGCTTTATAAACTATGTAACATGCTGTGCAAAGGATTTTTTCCCCCTTCCATGGCTTTCCCACAGGGAAAGCCTGCTAAAGCTCTTT